AAAAGTCAACAAAATGACTCACTCTGTCCCAGGCTATCAAAAGTCAAAATGACTCACTCTGTCCCAGGCTATTGACCAGGCCTCAGGCCACGCCCACTTTGCTGTGGAAATGACCAGTGGGGGCTTCACTGTGATTAATAATCAGATGTGACCAGTAGGTGGAGCTGGTTTGGAAGAATGCGTTCTCAAGAGACTTGGTTCTTCTTTGTCCCCGCAGGTCTGACCGTGTTCCTCAGTATGATGCTGGGAGCCTTCCTGTGGGGGGGGCTCGCTGATAAAGTCGGCCGCCGTCGCTGCTTGATAGTGGCGTTAGCCTTTAACTGCGTCTTCGCCTTTCTGTCCTCGTTTGCTCAGAGCTACGGCTTCTTCCTGTTCTTCAGGCTGCTCTCGGGAATCGGGTAAAGAACGCAAATAAAACCTTACATTTGTTTCTTCACTTCCAAAATGGAAACTGAAAAAAACAACTGTTCCTGCTTCTTGTTCTCAGGATCGGTGGCACGGTACCGATCGTGTACACGTACTTTTCGGAGTTCCTTCAGATGGACAAACGAGGAGAACATCTGTCGTGGCTGTGTATGTTCTGGATGATCGGCGGCATCTACGCCTCCTTCACAGCCTGGGGCATCATTCCCAGATACGGTAAGAACTCTTCAGGAGGTTGACTTTTGTCTGGACTCTAAGTCAAACAATATGCTGATGATAACACGTCAACACGTGTGGACCCAGGCTGGGGCTTCAGTATGGGATCTGAGATCCAGTTCCACAGTTGGAGGGTCTTCATCCTGGTTGCTGCTCTTCCTGCCGTCACGTCTCTGATCGGACTTACCTTCATGCCCGAAAGTCCTCGCTTCCTCCTGGAGGTAAGATGTATAATGACACTCAGTGTTGGGAATAAATATAAGTAGCATCTTCACATTTAGCTCAGGTAGATGTAAAAAGCTAACAGTAAGTGTGTGTGTGTGTGTGTGTGTGTGTAGACTGCCAAACACGACGAGGCCTGGATGATACTGAAGCAGGTCCACGACACCAACTGGAGGGCTAAAGGTCAACCAGAGAAGGTCTTTACTGTGAGTATACATACCACCCCCTGTTGGTCAGCACTGGTACTGTAGTTGTAGTTGTTCAACACAGCTCCATTTTTCCACTCGACACTCTGTGGCGCTGTCTTGCTCACGTACTTGTACTTTTACGTGTGACAAAAAAAGGCATCTTGATTCTTCTCGGGCCGCTAGCTACTGCATCTGTTAGCGAAGATCGTGACTGTTCTTAGACACAACGTCCGTCTTTGTCCGTGTTTCTGAAGGTGACTCACATCAAAGCTCCGAAAACCGCAGAGGACGAGTTAATCGAGATCCAGAGTTCTACGGGAACAGCCGTTCAACGCTGGGCCGTCCGCTCTGTGACGCTCTGCAGACTGGTGAGGGCCGCACCCACACAAGCCCCGCCCCTCTGTAGACTAGCCCCGCCCCTCTGTGTGTGACTTTAATAGTGTGTGTGTGTGTGTGTTTGGTCTCAGGTGCTGAAGAACGTGGTCTCTCTGTTCTCTGTGGAACTCCGACTCTCCACTCTCTTCATGGCCGTCATCTGGTTCTCCATGGCCTTCAGGTAAGAACGTAAACCCACGTCAACGTCCAAGCGGAAAATGGAATCTTATTTTTTATCATAAAAATGTTTTATAATTGTCAAATTCTGTCAGAACACGTTCTGTTGACGATGATTTGGTTGATGAGAAATTTAGAATCTGTGGCAGGTGAGGGTGCTGTGGCGCCCCCCAGTGGTAAAAAGAAGAAAAGAAAGTCATTCTGTCATTAGAAAAATAAGACTGTAAAAATACAATGTGTACAAATGGACTTGATACTGTGTGTGTGTGTGTGTGTGTGCAGTTACTATGGGCTGTCTGTGTGGTTTCCTGACATGATCAAACATCTTCAGTACGAAGAATACCAGTCCAAGGTGAAGGTGAGCTCAGACACATGGTACAGGTCACCAGGTCACCTGGTCGTTATGGTTTGACCTGAAGATTACATTTTATATATTATCTCCTAATTTATTTCATTTTTATTTTAATGGCTGCTTTGGTTTATGTTTCAGGTTTTTTATAGAGAACGAGTGGAAAACTTTCACTTCAACTTCACGCTGGAAAATCAGATCCACAGAGAAGGAGAGTACGTCAACGACAAGTGAGTCTCACACACACACACACACACACACACACACACTTCAGACCTGGACTAACGTTAGCCTGAGTGGTCTGTGGTCTGTCTGCAGGTTCGTCGGCATAGAGATGAAGTCGGTGAAGTTTGAAGACTCTCTGTTTGAAGACTGTCTCTTTGAGGACATCAGTTCCATAGACACCGTCTTTGAAAACTGTACCATTCGCTCCACCCTCTTCTACAACACAGGTCAGTTCACAGAACAAACCTGGACCAATCACTGACCACTGTGGCCGCAAAAACGTCACGTAAGAGGTCCGGGCTCCCCCTGTTTTACAACCTCTGATGCGTCCTGTTAATCTGGACGTCGCATTTGCTGCTGAGTCATGTTTGGTGAATTTGTGACATCTGCTGAGTCATGTTTGCTGCTGGTTGGTTGCAGACCTGTGGGGTCCTCGGCTCATCAACTGCAGGACGGAGAACAGCAGCTGGGAGCACAACAAACATGGCTGCCACCTGGACAGCAGCGAGGAGAACGACGTTCTCATCTACCTGGTCAGTTTCCTGGGAAGTCTGGCTGTTCTTCCAGGAAACATCATCTCAGCGCTCTTCATGGAAAAGCTCGGCAGAGTCAGGATAATCGGTACGAAGTTCTTAGTTCTTCCTTCGGTCTGAATGTTTAGTCGGTCCAGAACCAGACCTGGTCCTGGACTGACAGAACTTTCTGGACTCACTGTTACTGTGACTGACATTTGATCCCTGCAGGGGGCGCCATGCTGATTTCAGCAGGCTGTAGCTTCTTCCTGTTCCTCAGCTTCAGCCAATCAGCAATCATCGTTCTGCAGTGTCTGTTCTGTGGCATCAGCGCAGCAGCTTGGAACGGTATCGAGGTGGTGACGGTGGAACTCTATCCTGCCTCGAAAAGGTACGTGTTTAGCCGTGTCTCTTTACTGTACAGTACCAAACTCTACTGAGTGCCAGGAACCATTGTCAAGGAACCTCTTTCAGGGTTTTCACTGTGGTGAAAGTCCAGTAGAAATTTAAAAAAAATAGTTCCATCACATTCCCAGAGTTTCTGGTTTCAATGGAACTAAACGGTCCCAAGAGTACGAGGACTTGATGGTGGATAACTGAGTCAGCAGTCTTCTTCTGAGCAGAAAGTAAACGTTCCTGGTACTGTACAGTACAATGATCTACTTTTTGAACTCTTGTAAATAAACAACTCAGGCTAATGCTACTTAGCCTAAGCTAACCTGTGACTTCCTGTTTCTCAGGGCGACGGCGTTCGGCGTGTTGAACGCTCTGTGTAAACTGGCCGCCATCCTCGGCAGCTCCATCTTCTCCAGCTTCGTGGGCGTGACCAAAGCTGTCCCCGTCCTCCTCTCCTTCACCGCCTTGACAGGTGGCGGCCTGTTAGCGCTGAAGCTTCCGGACACACGGGAGAAAATCCTGCAGTGACGACCGTGACGCCACCTGGAAAAGATCGCACTTTAACGATCGGAGGACGTTGAGTGAAAACTGACTTTATTCAGTTCTGTAAGATACAGAAAATTAGTCGACAAATTATTTTTTCATATTCACCATTTTATTATTTTTCAGCTCGTTGCAGGAGCGGGGGGGTCGAGGGTGTGGATGCTGAGTGTCATCGACTAAAGACTCTGGCATTTATTTTCGTAGAATTATGACGTAAACAACACGAAGTCACCTGTTGATGTAATTTTTGCTGCTCGTCACTGACGACAGGAAGTTCCTTCATTTCAATCAGACATTTTTTTTAATCTTTCAGGAAACAGAAACCAAAGCTACGTTCACACTGTCTGTGTAGGTTCTCAGTCATCGTATCCAAAGATAGTGACATGGAGGTCAACTGGAGAGAGTGGTTTCTTGAAGATGTTTCACCTCTCATCCAAGAGGCTGAACTGAAGAAGCCTCGTGGGGGAGGGGGGGAACCA